TACGAAAACGATAATTTCGCTATCGCAAATTTTAATGCGAAGAGAATCAAATGAAGCGATAGATAAATTTATCGTTGAAAATAAGCAAATTACAAGATATAAATAACAATTAATTGCCACTGTCTGGCATTTCTTTGTTTACATAGGAAATCGTTTATAATAAACGAAGGTTAATACAGATAACAGTTACATAATGGTTTACACAAATATTTGTTTGTTGATGAACGTACGTTTTCTTTCTTTATCGCTATACGACATTATTTTTATATTAAAAAACACGTTTATTTTCTACTAATAGAAATATTAATTAATTTAGAAGATTGTATTGAATTGAGTCATATAATATATATAGATGAATCATAAATAAATAAAACTTGATAAGAAAATTGTAATATAACATTGTTTATTACTTAGATTTAATTTAAAAACTTATTATAAATGAGACGGTTTCATCTGAAGTTATGTGGGTTTCAGTTCTGATAAGGATTTATTAATAAATTTTATTTTACTGTTGAATGTTGCTCTATTTGAATAGTTGTAATCGTATAATTCGGAGTGTAAACAGATAAAATGTGATGTAATAAGAGACGTGTAAATTTGGTTGCCTACAGTTGGAGTATTGCAATTTCCCAAATATCAAACTCTAGGTTTTCCAATTAATATTATATTTCAGATAGGAAAAAAACTGTAATATTACAATATTTCATTTTTTTTGTACTTTTTTGTATTATTCTACATTTGTAATTTGATTTGATTTGTTTTGTTTAATGCAATTGTTTCCTACAGACTTTGATTTTCTTTTAAACTTTAAAAATCGCTGATATTTAGTAATTTTTGTTTAGATAGTTTTTCGTGCTTTATAAAATCTTCTTTTGCAATTATTAATAGTTAATTGTTCCATCATGCAAATTTTGTTACTTCAATTTTTATATTTTGTAGCAAAAGTAATTTAAATCGTATTTATAATGTTTTTCGTCAAAGAATTTTAAAGTAAAATCAATGAATTTCAGTGGAAGAAGATAAATTTCCAAGTGACTTTTAAGTAAAGTGAATTATTCTAACAGAATATCATTTAAAATTTGACATATATTACCAAACTTATTTTATAAACGATGAAGAAGAATTAGAAATACTTTATTTTTTTCTATTCCATTTAATTCCAAGATTAGGATTAACTTAATATATCATTCGAATATATCCGTAAATATAACTGTCAGATTAAATTAAATGTCATTGCAAATGTCAAATCTTATGATTACCAATAATTATTTACTTGATTATATTAAGTTGGTAATTTGTGTATATGCATACAAAATGGTTTGAAATGCATGTTTTTTTCTAATCCTATTAATTCAAAGATTTTAAAGTTTAAAGGTTTAAACAAAATCATTTTAATATAACCCTAAATTTAGCTGTCAGATTAGATTGATTGTCATTGCTATTGTCAAATTTCATGACTATAAATATTTTTTGGTAGTTGTGTATAATATTATATGATGTGTACGATCTTTAGTAGAAAATCCAATAGTGTTAATTAAATTGGTAATTAGTGTAAATTATAGTTTGAAATGTATGTCTTTTTGTAATCCTATTAATTCCAATATTAATATTAAATAAGTTAAAGGTTTAAACAAAATCATTATATAACCCTAAATATAGCTGTCAGATTAGATTGATTGTCATTGCTATTGTCAAATTCCATGACTATTAATATTTTTTACTGATCTTAAAGTAGTCTTTAGTAGATAATCCACTGATCTTTAGTAGATAATCCAATAATGTTAATTAAATTAATAATTAGTGTCAATTCTAGTTTGAAATGCATGTATTTTTCTAATCCTATTAATTTTAACAAAATCATTTAAATAAATATAACCCTAAATTTAGCTGTCAAATTAGATTGATTGTCATTGCTACCAATATTTTGTTACTGGATCATAATAAATTGGTTGTTGGGTATATTATATGGTGTGTACGTTCTTTAATAGAGATTCCAATAGTGTTAATTGAATTGGTAATTTGTGTAAATTTCGGAGTGTATAAATGATAGTCTGAAACGCATTTGAACCATATGCGGCAGATTGCATAATAAGGTTTGAATTTTAGTGTGTACGTGAGTCATATATATCGTGCAAATTAACACTTGTATCTTGTGTTGTCTAGGAAGTTGCTAAGTTATAACCTAGTGCAGTTTTGGACACTAGTTTAATTAAATAAATCGCTCGGAATGGGAGCGCGAGTGTTTAACAGAGTACGGAGAAAACGGGGGGTTTGGTACTATTGTAAATACGTAATAAGCGCCACCCTGTATAATCGGGCGGGAATGCATCTAGCGGGAATGGCATTAGATCATATTGTAACTCGATTAGCAAACAGTTCCTAAGTTTTGGGGAATTTACGTGGTTAAATGGAAGGGTGAGCAGTCTCCCATCCACCTCTCTTCTTTGGCTGCGGAATTGTGCTATTGAGAAACCGCATCACGGCCAGATGCTGCCGCCACCGCCGCCGCCGCTGCATATGCACCGTTTGCGAAATCTACAGGAATCAGCATAAATCTGAGTCTCCTTATTAATTACATCACTTCCTTTCTACGCAAGAGCAACTTCCGTTTCAGCGTATTATCAATTTCGTTGCCGTCGGTTTATGCATAATTTAATCTCTTGGTTTTACGGAATGGGCGACCACTGAAAAATCATAAAACAGAAAATCGCACGTGACCAGGATTTATATTTACAGTATACCTGCATGTTATTTACGATTCGAGGCGGCAATTTCGAATTGCTTACGCAAGGGAAACATTGATTTTTCTCTGTACGGTGAGAGTGGAGAGAAGAGGAGACGCGTAAGTCCGCAAAACCATCCACCCATTCCCATCCCAGTTTAACTCCCTCGACGATGTCTACGCCGCGAAGCTACACTATATACACTTGCACCCTACATCCACCTACGTTCGACGTGCACGTGCGAATTTCCCGTGGAACGCACATGTTCAATTCGCAGGAGACAAAACCCCCGTGAACGAAAGTGTAAGCAAATTGAGCAAATAACTACTCCGACATCCGAGATTTACATACGCCGCAGCTTTTCACCTATAACGTGCTAGAGATTACCTAACATACATACACAAACTATTTCGTTACCGCCGTTATTCACCCACTTCTATTTTCGTTGATTTAATAACCAATTCACTTAATATACCCTACTTTAGTTAAGTACCATTTAGTGGACCTATTATAGCTAAATAATAAGTCTACTTCTATTGCATTATCTTTAGTTTATGTTGTTTTAGAAAATTGGAAGAAACCGGAGGATTTATTTTATTTATTTATTTGAAGCATTTCCATCAACTCTTTTATAAACATTTTTATATTACATCCATCTACATTAATAAGAGTATAATTATGATCGTTTACACGATAGATAAAGAAATAATATTAACAAAAAAATTAGATAATTGTAAGAAACAGGACTGTTTTAGGATTTTTATGTTATAAAACATCTTCGGCTGTTATTTATTTCAGCAAATATTTCAATTAATTCTATTAGAAACTTTCATACTTAATCTACATTGATATGAGTGAAGATTATGTTATAAATAAAAGAAATTATATTAGAGGAAATCGAAATTTATTTAATTTTGTAAATTTATGGAATAACAATAAATATGTACATTTTATAAAATAACAATCTACAAAATAATTACAATTCTACCACAAACGCAAACGTTTTGCTTCATATCTTTTATATCCGCATTCCATCGGATTGTACGTCTTTTCATAATATTGGCTGCACGTTCCTTGTTCTTCATAATAAAAGTGTAGAAAATCACTATCATTATGGTCATCTTCTGAGTCATCATCATCGGAATATTCATCTTCGGACTCTTCATCTTTGGAGTCTTCATCTTTGGAATCTTCATCTTTGGAGTGTTTATCTTTGAAGTCTTCATCCTCGGACTCTTCATCTTCGTCAGATTCTGTTTCGTTACCGGAGGAATATTCGTCATCTCCATCATAGCTGGAGTCATCCTTGTGATCTACATCATTATTACCGTTTTCACTACACTTTTCATCTACTAAATCCACGTCCTCGAAATCACTGTCTTCTAACATGCAATTATGTCCATCGCCAATACCAATGTCCTCGGCATCGCTTATATCCTCGTACATTAAATTTGAGTATTCGTTGAAAGAATTCATTTTTCTAGCTTTGCTGATAGTTTGCGTTGTTACTGTTACAAAAGGTTGCAAGAAACTGATGCATTTGCAATGATTAACTCACCTTTTATAGTACATCCCTTTTTGCAAAGGTATTAACAAAATCGCCAATAAGTGGTGGGAGTTATTTATAAGGGGGTCGTAAAATCAGGTATATTTTATTACGTTTTATATCTAAATAATTGTAATTTTTCTAATAACAGGTAACAAGTTTATTGAATTAGCATGAATTTAGAAAAACCCACCCTTTGGCCCAATAATTATTGGTACTAAAGAGAAAAAACCTATAGGTTTTCCCAGAATGTTTTGATTGCACTGCAAATTGCATACTACCTATTGAAAACACTTTGAAGTCATCTTTATTTAATTGTTAAATACTTAATGTGGACTACAAAGTACTGCTAAATATATTACATATTAAATCTACAGTCTATATTTAGTAGATCTCAAGAAATTAACAAAGATACGACTTTTCAAATGAATTAATTCGAAAACGCAATCCAGAATAAAATGTAATGATGACAAATTCATAAGGATTGGATTTTGCTTGGGAAATTGTCGACGAGTTTCAGTTTTTATAAGCGAGTTCCCTAATTAAGGGACTACAAACTCTTGTAGATTTTGAGTAATTCTATAAAATGTGAAGACACTGCTTGAAGCTTATGTTATAAATGAAAGAAATTATATTAGATGAAATCGAAATTTATTTAATTTTGTAAATATATGGAATAATAATAAATATGTACATTTTATAAAATAACAATCTACAAAATAATTACAATTCTACCACAAACGCAAACGTTTTGCTTCATATCTTTTATATCCGCATTCCATCGGATTGTACGTCTTTTCATAATATTGGCTGCACGTTCCTTGTTCTTCATAATAAAAGTGTAGAAAATCACTATCATTATGGTCATCTTCTGAGTCATCATCATCGGAATATTCATCTTCGGACTCTTCATCTTTGGAGTGTTTATCTTTGGAGTCTTCATCTTTGGACTCTTCATCTTCGTCAGATTCCGTTTCGTTGCCGGAGGAATATTCGTCATCTCCATCATAGCTGGAGTCATCCTTGTGATCTACATCATTATTACCATTTTCACTACACTTTTCATCTACTAAATCCACGTCCTCGGCATCACTGATGTCTTCTGACATGTAATTATGTCCATCGCCAATACCAATGTCCTCGGCATCGCTTATATCCTCGTACATTAAATTTGAGTATTCGTTGAAAGAATTCATTTTTCTAGCTTTGCTGATAGTTTGTGTTGTTACTGTTACAAAAGGTTGCAAGAAACTGATGCATTTGCAATGATTAACTCACCTTTTATAGTACATCCCTTTTGCAAAAGTATTAACAAAATCACCAATAAGTGGTGGGAGTTATTTATTGGGGGGTCGTAAAATCAGGTATATTTTATTACATTTTTATATCTAAATAATTGTATTTTTTCTAATAACAGGTAGCAAGTTTATTGAATTAGCATGAATTTAGAAAAACCCACCCTTTGGCCCAATAAAAATTGGTAAGAAAGAGAAAAAACCTATAGGTTTTCCCAGAATGTTTTGATTGCACTGCAAATTGCATACTACCTATTGAAAACTCTTTGAAGTCATCTTTATTTAATTGTTAAATACTTAATGAGGATTTCAAAGTACTGCTAAATATGTTACATACTAAATTTACAGTCTATATTTAGTAGATCTCAAGAAATTAACAAAGATATGACTTTTGAAATGAATTAATTCGAAAATTCAATCCAGAATAAAATGTAATGATGACAAATTCATAATGGTCGGATTTTAATTAGGAAATTGTCGACGAGTTTCGGTTTTTATAAGCGAGTCCCTACAAACTCTTGTAGTGTGAAGACATTGCTTGAAGCTTATGTTATAAATAAAAGAAATTATATTAGATGAAATCGAAATTTATTTAATTTTGTAAATTTATGGAATAACAATAAATATGTACAATTCCATCGGATTGTACGTCTTTTCATAATATTGGCTGCACGTTCCTTGTTCTTCATAATAAAAGTGTAGAAAATCACTATCATTTTGGTCATTTTCTGAGTCATCATCATCGGAATATTCATCTTTGGAGTGTTTATCGTTGAAGTCTTCATCTTTGGAGTGTTTATCTTTGAAGTCTTCATCCTCGGACTCTTCATCTTCGTCAGATTCTGTTCCGTTACCGGAGGAATATTCGTCATCTCCGTCATAGCTGGAGTCATCCTTGTGATCTACATCATTATTACCGTTTTCACTACACTTTTCATCTACTAAATCCACGTCCTCGACATCACCGATGTCTTCTGACATGCAATTATGTCCATCGCCAATACAAATGTCCTCGGCATCACTAATATCCTCGTACATTAAATTTGAGTATTCGTTGAAAGAATTCATTTTTCTAGCTTTGCTGATAGTTTGTGTTGTTACTGACACAAAAGGTTACAAGAAACTGATGCATTTGCAAAAATTAACTCACCTTTTATAGTACATCCCTTTTGCAAAGGTATTAACAAAATCACCAATAAGTGGTGGGAGTTATTTATTGGGGGGTCGTAAAATCAGGTATATTTTATGAAATTTTTTATTTAAATAATTGTATTTTTTCTAATAACAAGAAACAAGTTTATTGAATTAGCATGAATTTATAAAAATCTACCCTCTGGCCCAATAAAAATTGGTAATAAAGAGAAAAAAGCTATAGGTTTTCCCAGTATGTGTTGATTGTACTGCAAATTGCATACTACCTATTGAAAACACTTTGAAGTCATCTTTATTGCTAAATACTTAATTTGGACTTCAAAGTACTGATAAATATGTTACATATTAAATCTATAGTCTATATTTAGTAGATCTCAAGAAATTAACAAAGAAATTGTTGACAAGTTTCGGGACTACAAACTCTTGTAAATTTTGAGTAATTTACTAAAATGTGAAGACACTGCTTGAGGCTTATGTTATAAATAAAAGAAATAAAATTAGATGAAATTGAAATTTATTTAATTTTGTAAATTTATGGAATAACAATAAATATGTACATTTTATAAAATAACAATCAACAAAAT